TAATGTCATCGAGATGCCTTGCTAAATATGATGAGGGTGAAACTGGCATGAAAAAATACAACATAAATAAAAAGAGAAAATAAACATAAAAAATAATATAAACACTGTGAATATTGCTTGAAAATATTTGATTTTAGTTGAAAATAGTTCAAAGTTCAATTGTGTATGGTCATAGAACCACATTAGAGGAAAATATTTGAAAAGCCTAATATATTTTGGGAAAATTCTGTTCAGCTTGGCTTGCTTTGTGTTTTAAACACTAAAACAACTTTTATTCTGCAATCCCGTGTGCTTTAAAAATCTCAGTTCAGCATTGGTAGGCTGATCCCCAAGCCCACTTATATATATATAAGAAAAATTCAGAAAGGGTAAGTTAAACATGTAGAACTTTTCAACAAGATATATAACTTTCAGTCTTTTTCTCTTGTGGTGAAGTAAAAATAGATAATTTGAAAATATTTCTGTTATCTGTATTTCTCCCCCCCCCCCCTGAATTGCAAACTGATACATTGTGTGTTGTGTATTTTGAAGGTTTCTGGAGAAGCAAATGAAACTCAGATTTCTGAAGCTCTGCGGCGTTACAGCGAGAGGGCATTCTTTGTGAGGGAGGCACTGTTTCATCTGTTTAGCCTTACGCACTTTATGGAAAATACCAAACCAGAAATTCTGAAGGTAAAACTATTTAAACTAATGGGACATCTCTCTAACAGAATCACGAAATGTGATGTACTTTAGGAAAGCAGAGATCGTGGAAGATGTATGCGCTGACAGATTTTGGGGTGTGTGTGTGATAGAAAAGAGAAATGGGTTTTAGCAACAGTTCAGAAGCTGTGGTTGCTATGTTTACATAAGGTGTGCTAAATTTAGCACAGAAGAAGCAGGAGGCGTTGCCTACATCCACAAAACACTGCAGACCACATATCTATAGTTGTGGAGTAGAAATCTTATTCATTCAGCAATTGTCAAATGAAATGGTATCCAATTAAATTGATTAGCTTTCCATATTGCGAAGTGGACAAACAGTGAATAGAATTAGGGCCTGCCATTATGGGTTGGTACAACACAGTAGCAAAGTAGCAAGGTAAGAAGTGAGCATTTTCCTATAGGCATGAAAGGAAAATGTAGGAGAAAGAGCCTTCCTTCCAAAAATAGGAGTGAACTGCTCAGTCTTTTGATCTTTTCTCCAATGGTTCAGTTTAATTACTAAAAAAAAATCAGTAAAATTGACATAGTCCCTATTATTTATATCGTAACATAGATAGCAGTATATGCAGCTCCAGCGGGGTTTTGATTTTTTGCACAAATTTGTGTGAGATTGTCCAAAGCTGTATTTCATAAGTTTGCCCCAGGCCAGAGAATTAGGTCCATTTTATTCAATATTAAGATGGAAGGAAAGAAAGTGGAGGGTTATAGGGCCAGGCCTTTTGACACATTAACTCTAGTCATGAAAAGAAAAAGTTGGTTAGTTCCCTATCTGAAAATGATCAAGGTAGGTCTGTGAATTAGAGTGTGAGATACCTGCCAGCTAGTTTAAAAACTTTGGGAATGCTAAAATAATTCTGCTTTGGATGTGGTAGCTGTTTTCATTGTAATGTAGATGAAAAGCCAACTCACAATTTCCTCTCTTGATCGTTTCGTTCCAGCTTGTAGTCGTTGGCATGAAAAATCATCCTCTGAATTTGCCTGTGCAATTAGCAGCAAGTGCCTGTGTGTTTAACCTGACAAAACAAGATTTAGCTGCAGGCATGCCAGTTAGGCTCCTAGCAGATGTTACCCACTTACTCCTTAAAGCCATGGAGCATTTCCCCAACCACCAACAAGTAAGTCTTTCCATTTTTTTTGAGGTAATAGACATAGCATTTTTAATGCAGAACCAGTGTACTGATTTTTTTTTTAAGCCTGTGAGATGAATTCTTAGAGTAGATGCACCAAGTGCTTCATATATACTGTTGTTTTTGAGTATGGGTGCATAGGTGTTAAAATGGTTTTTAAAATGTTTGTACTTTGCAACAGGAATGAAAGTGATTATTGTCTTTTTGGAAAGGTTGAGCTATGCAGCTTCAGTGTAATATACTCTGAATATAACCTATACTGGTTCATAACTGATGGAAATGATAGAGCATATGAAGAGCTCAGGATTGAAATGAGGGGTCCTTGATTGGTTTCTTGCAGACTTTTCATTACCCAAACTAGGTAACTTCATGAATGAGGATGTTACCCAGTTTGGGTAATGAAATGTCTGTAAGAAAACAACCAAGCTCAAAGAGCACCAACCGCCCCCCCCATGACTGATGGATTTGCAGTTCTACTGTTAACATTGCACGTATCATAAAACAGGAAGCATTTTAAAAAATTAACATTGAACAGAGATTACTCTAAATTTTGCGAAGTACTGTATCTACTACACCAGAAATAGACAACCTTTTGATGACTTGGAATCTCACTTCACATTTTTTAGAGGGGAGCATACAGAACTTATAAACGTAGGGAAGGCTTTCAATTCCCAACAGGTTTTTAATAGGAAGATGGATAGGCATTTTTGATGTTTTTTTAAAAAAACTCTTGTGTTAAACTTACATAGGGCAACCATTAGTTTTTCATGTGTATCCTGTCCCAAAATGGCATGAGGCTGGCCTGCCAATTTTTGATAATTCTGGTCATCGAAGGCTTTACGAAGTAGAACTTCCACCTACATCTTGTGCATTCTTTTCTGTTGTAATGCTTAACTAACCACTGTTCCTCTGGATTCACATGTTCTCTCTTTATTCTTCATCATGGACATTAATAAGTCAGAAACTTCTCTTTAACATTAACCACAAAGTTAAATTTCGGCCAAACCCTAACCTTTGGCCAATTCTATGTACTGTATGGTTTGTAGAAATAAAAGGGCTAATAAGCTATGGTTTAAACTACCCTTTGTCCAGAGTCAAATGAGATGGCAAGTTGTAGGCAATAAAAATTCAAGATCATTCTTTTGGTGATTACTTAGAAGAGATTGCAGTAGCTGCAGGTAGATTAAGTTTAGTATATCTTAACATAAAGAACCTAGATTGGGATCAATTTTTTAACTCTAAAATGAATTCAATTTACCCTATGACGGGAACCTAATCTTCTCTTTTCCTTCTGTTAAGGATATTTTAATGCTTTGTTCCTTGAAACACACTTTTACCCTATACAGTGCATCTTACTTGTAGATATCACAATATATGCTGCTACAGCTAGATATTTATAAGAAGGTGTAGAATGCTGGTATAGAAAATACAAATAAGAGACTCATATTTATGAATACATATGAACATTTTTATTGTTTCTTTTTGATCAGCTTCATTTAAAAAATAACGATGTTCATAAATGATAGTATCGGCTTGTTAAAGGAAATCACAAGTTATCAATATGCTACAAGATTCATTTGGGAGAAATAAAATCCTGTCCTGGATATGAAATATTTTGTTGTTTTTTTCACCCACCTTACAGCTGCAAAAGAACTGCCTTTTATCATTGTGCAGTGACAGGATACTTCAGGATGTTCCATTTAACAGGTTTGTTTTATTTTCCAAATTATGAAGAAAAGGGAAAGGAATGTAAGATTGCTATCTAAATGTAGGTGATCACTCTATCTCACTACTTGAATAATTTTAAATTATTGTCCTTATTCATAGCTAATGGATAGATGGATTTTCTGTCTGGGTCTGTCTGTCCGCCCGTCCATGCATCCATCCATCCACCCACCCACCCCAGCTACCAAACCTATCTAAAATACCAACATTTTTCTAAACATATATTAAGACAGAAGTTGGTAATTTATTCGTTTATCATTTTTAAATGTTGCATATTCAAGGAAGATGCTAACCCTAGTCCTAACACCAGGTAAATAAATAATCTGATAATTTGCAAAGGAACCTATGAGCATTGTGAAAAAAAGACTTGGAAACCAGAAGGGGCTGCATATGTTCTCTAATAGTTATAGACATTGAATAACCTCTGACTGTGCTTCAGTGACTGCAGATTGCTATTGCTTGGACCTAATACAACCTTTTTCATAAACTATGCTCTGAGAGTATGTGTGTTGCAGGATAGAGAAAGTTCATCCTGGAATCATCCGCCAGTGGTGAATTGGCATCTATAGCAGTCTCTGACCAGCGTTAAAATCTAGATCTTGAAAATAAAAATGGACAGACAGAAAGACATATTACTGGCCCAAAGCGGCCGATCACTCTTAAACTTAGAAGTTGTTTTGGTATCTATAAGTAGCCGATGCCAGCTGTAGATTTTATTATAGTTCTGTTGTACATTGCTATATTCCTCTGGGCTGAGCTGGAGGTCTTATTTGCCCATTCCTAAGATTTGTTAAGTTTTTGCCTGTTTTTTTTCCCCCAGGTTTGAAGCAGCTAAACTTGTCATGCAATGGCTATGTAATCATGAAGATCAAAACATGCAGAGGATGGCAGTGGCTATTATTTCCATTCTTGCTGCAAAGGTGTGCGATTTGAAGCGTTAACCATTTTAGCCTTAATTTCCAAGCCCTACCAACAGCAGTCTGACATTTCTCTGTGTTTGTTTTCTCTGTTTGTTTGTTTGTTTGTTACTTAAAGCTTTCAACAGAACAAACAGCTCAGCTTGGGGCAGAGCTCTTCATTGTCAGGGTAAGCAATCAGAATGATTTGAGATGACTGAAATGCTAATATTGACTGAGTTTGATATAATACAAGAATGTGGTTTATTTGATTTGGAATGGGACGTTGCATGAACCGTTATAAGTTCTTTATACAGCTTATAAATTCTGTAAATAAATAAAACCAGCCATTGTTTCCACTGTTAAGTGGAAATGTTCAATGTTCTTCTTGTTGAAGGTTGTTGGGATTTTTTTTTTTAAAAAAAAATCTGGTTACTTTGACATACACAACTATCGTGCCCCGTTTTCCACAAATATTGAAGCATTAATGTGTCCTGTTGCTGCTCAAATTCAAGGGAGAAAAAAAATCTATTTAATTTTATTTGGGTTTTTTTGTCACATGCTCTTACACAGCCATCCTGAGTAGTGCATCACAGGTGTATGGTATATCACAGTGATGGCGAACCTTTTAGAGACCGAGTGCCCAAACTGCAACCCAAAGCCCACTTATGCGTCGGGTGCCGGGTGGGCGTGGCTGCAGTGGTAACAGCAGACTGGGTGGGACTAAAAAGTTCAATCAATTAATTCCAACTTTGCAAGATCTTTTCTTCCCCCCCCCCCCCGCAAGAAGTTGAAATTGACTGTTTGATTAAACCTTTTTTTTTTGTACATGGCGGTGGAGGCCTAAAGCGAAAAGGTTTTATAAAACCCAGCTGAAGGCCTAGGACTGGGGCAATGCCGCGCGTGCCCACAGAGAGGGCTCTGAGTGCCGCCTCTGGCACCCGTGCCATAGGTTTGCCACCACTGGTATATCAGTTGCGTACTTGATATGCAAAGGATTTGATGATGTTTCAAAAATTTTCAAAGCTCACTATGACAGTAGAATGGATATAAAGTGGTTCTTTGTTATCTTAGCAAGTCAGAAATGGTCCTTTTTGTTGGAAATTTTTATTTATTTATTTTAAATAAATAACCAAAGTTGCCTGGGCAATTTACAATACTTTAGTGATGTTCCTTGTTCATACTACATGTGACTGTAACAGACATTGCCTAATTATATATAAAGTTGAAAGTGATTTAATTTTAGGGCCAAAGAAAATATATGCTTGAGAAGAGTGCTTTCTGATCATAAGATGCAGTCTAATTTTTAAATTTTTCCACTCCCTTCTCTATCATTTTCTTTTGGAACTATATAGCCTGCACTCATTTGAATTTTTCCTATTATAACTTTAATAAATAAAACTGGAGTATTTTTTCCTCCATACCTTTTTGTCCAGATATTGTCATTCAAGCATACATGCTAGACCAGTGATGGCGAATCTTTTAGAGATCGAGTGCCCCAAAACTGGCTCCGCCCCCGCTCCACCCACTGCCCAACCCCCACCCCACCTGCCTGCAGGGCCACTCACCACCCCCAGGGCCCGCCGCAGATCGCCCAGGCAGCCCAGCAGCACCATTGCGGCCATGCCCTCTGCCTGCGCCCCACAGCATCAACTGTGCGCAGTGGGGTGTGAGGGCAGAGTCTTGTCTATGCTGCATGGCTGCCATGTCCTTGGCTGTGCTGCTCTGTGTGGGCCATGCTCGGGGGTGACTCTCCTCCAGGGGCGCTGCTGGTGAGGGGGTCACGGGAGGAGGCAAGGCTGGGGCAACGGCACGTGTGCCCACAGAGAGGACTCCGAGTGCCGCCTCTGGCACACGTGCCATAGGTTCGCCACCACTGTGCTAGACTTTGATACCAGCAGAAAGTCTGTTGGGGAAAAAATGACATTGGGAGAAATCTTAGGGCAATATATCTTCTTCTTCTTCTTGTGCCATATCTGTTATCGGACGTTGGCGATCATGTTGGCGATCCTGTTTTTATCAGTAGCCGCACGAAAAAGTGCTGCTGAGTTTTGTCCAAACCAATCCCCTAGATCAGTGGTGGCGAACCTATGGCACGGGTGCCAGAGGCGGCACTCAGAGCCCTCTCTGTGGGCACACGTGCCGTCGCCCCAGTCCTAGGCCTTCAGCTGGGTTTTATAAAACCTTTTCACTTTAGGCCTCTGCCGGCGTGTGCAAAAAAAAAACAGGTTCAATCAATCAGTCAATTTCAACTTCTCGCAAGAAAAAAAAAGATCTTGCAAAGTTGTAATTGATTGATTGAACTTTTTAGTCCCCCCAGTCTGCCGTTACCACTGCAGCCACACCCACCCAATGGGCCACACCCACCCAATGGGCCACACCCATCCGGCACCCAACAATGCATAAGTGGATTTTGGGTTGCAGTTTGGGCACTCGGTCTCTAAAAGGTTAGCCATCACTGCCCTAGATTTTGAAGCCACGGTGTTCTTCTTCTGCCTGGACCTCGTTTGATATAGATATTGCACAGCTGCAAGTATCTTTTGCTTGAAAAATGAAGGGAAGGGAACCTTTCTTTCTTTTTTACACCAGTATTTTTTAAACTGGCAACTTTAAGATGTGTGGTGGACTCCCAGAATTCTCCAGCCAGCATTAGGTTAAAGTCCACATGATTTAAATTTGCCAAATTTTAAAAACACTATTTTAGACTCTGATAGAAGTGGATTTAAAGAAATGTGTCTGTTCCCATTTGTGCCATTAAAATCTGAGATTTGAAAAGAGTAACTTAACAATATCAATTGCTTTATTCCTTTTCCCCCCCTCCAGCAACTTCTTCAAATTGTGAAGCAAAAAACAAATCAGAATGTAGTGGACACTACTCTTAAGTTTACGCTGAGTGCACTTTGGAATCTCACTGATGAGTCTCCAACCACGTGTCGGCACTTTATTGAAAATCAAGGGCTGGAACTCTTCATGAAAGTTTTGGAGGTGGGAACTGAAACATACATGTCAACATCTGTATAGCTATTATTGTATCTGCTTACTTCAATTTGCTTATGGAAATAATGAACTTTGTAATTTTGAAGTCCTGCTGCATACTTGTGACAGGGTTATTTTCAAATCCTGCAGTCCTCAAACCAATTAACTAAGATTGGCCATAAAAATCTTCTCTCTTCTCTCACTGCAACTCATAAAACCATGTCACCTGCCTCTTGTTGAAAGCATTAAAAGTCCTTTATAGTGTACTTCCTCTGACTCAATCCCTCCTGTTTTGGATAGCAGTGACTGAAAGTTGATCCTGTATTGCCAAAATAATTATTTAATTTTGTAGACTTCTCTAAGCCTTCTGAGATGTCTCATGTGATTTGCTTGTTAATCCAATATTAGCAAAATGTTCTCATTTACTAATGGTTGTCTATTCTTTTAATTTCCAGTCTTTTCCTTCAGAGTCATCTATCCAACAGAAAGTTCTTGGCCTTTTGGTAAGGTGAAAGGAATAGTAACTTTTTAACCTGGATGTAGGAAATGTTTGTTTTCCCTATTCTTTCCTGCTCCCTCTAACATTCTTCACTACTGTACTTGGAATACATTATTTTTAATTCCATTCTATTAACTTTGGGTCCAGTCAGACCAACCCTGATCCATCACAATCTCTATTTGTTTCAGCTTAAGGGATTAGCATTAGAACACAACTCTGTTGACTCAATCAATAGATTAATCTAGACTAGTATCCTATTTCTAGCAGTATCAAGGCAGCTTCTTCAAGCCATCATCCTCAAAATACAATAGATTGGAATTCAATCAGCGTGTCCAATCTAATAACTAATATGTTGAGAAAATTGTTCTACAAAGTAGGACAGAAAGTCAAAAGCCATGTCCACAGCAATAGTTTTTCAGAAACATCTGGACAAGCAGCTGAATTGGTTAGAACTGTTTGTATTGAAATTCCTTCCTCTTTTTTTTTTTTTACTTAGAACAATATTGCAGAGGTTAAAGAACTCCATTCTGAGCTAATGTGGGAAGACTTCATAGACCACATCAGCAAGTTGTTGCACAGTGTTGAGGTGGAGGTCAGTTACTTCGCAGCTGGGATTATTGCTCACTTAATATCCCGAGGAGAACAAGACTGGACGTTAAGTCGCAACCAGAGAGCCTCACTCCTTGAAGAACTGGTATAGATGTGACTGAAAAATATTTCCTCCTTTTCTCTGAGTTACTTTGTAAACATTTACAATAACAGCTCTTTCTTTGTTTTACAGCATTCTGCCATTTTGAATTGGCCTACACCAGAATGTGAAATGGTGGCATACAGGTAACTACGGATTCGACATAAACCCTTCAAAAAATATTAATAGAAGGTAGACTTAGTTTGCTGCACATAAGATTACTTTTTCCAGAAGTATGTATAGTTTGCCTGACATGATAAAATCATATTTCTGATTTTCCAAGATATAGTTGAAAGACATTTCAGGTTATAATCCTGCATAAGTATTAATGAGTAAATCCATTGAATTCAGTGAGATATTCTTAGAATACATGCATTGGGTTGCTCTCTGCCATATTCTAATGTGCTCAGTGGACTTAACACTGATATATTCTCCATTTTAAAGCTACTGAAGGCAGTAGTAATGTTGCTAAGAGAAAAAACTGAAGTTTTTGAATTAAAACTGATCCAAAAGATGTATTTTCATGCATGTTTAGAATTAAGTCTATTGACACCAGTGCTAAAACAGGCTGAAGCTTTGAGATGGCAGATTTGATATGAATTAAACAAGCAGTTGTTTCCCATGGTCTGAGTGGCATTTATGGGTGTTGTGCTTCTATTGTCTAATTATCACTTTCTATCCAAACCTCTCCCAATTATGAAAAATTCAGATGACTTTTATCTACTTCCCCACACCTCCTAGCAGGCAAAAAACCTGTACATTTGCCGAGTATCATGGTTTCCTGCTAGGAATTGCTTGTGATTCCACTAATGAAGAGTAGTAATGCGATTATACCTTTTATACTGGTGTTTCAACTGTATACTACCATCTCTAGGAAGGAAGCAATGACAAATCACTTCTGAAAATGATGCAACGGAGCAGCATGGACGTGACCATGTAGTATCCAGGAATCAGTGATTTGAAAGGACAAAAAAAAAGTGTGTGTGTGTGTGTGTGTAAATGCTGTATTCACAATCAAAGTCTCAAAATGATGGACTTTTCCTTTTTTCTCTTAATGAATAGGTCGTTCAACCCCTTTTTCCCCTTGCTTGGTTGCTTCATGACTCCTGGGGTGCAGCTCTGGGCTGTATGGGCTATGCAGCATGTTTGCAGCAAAAATCGTATGTATTGACCAAACAAATAAACAAAAAAGCCTTTTTATATTAAGCAATTATTTCAACATAGAGTAATTAGTAGGCACCAGATAATTCTTGTGATATCTAGCAACACAGATTTGAAATAAATTTTGGGGACATAGGGAATGAAAACCATCTTGTAGCAATTCTGTCACAGTTAAAAGGCAAGCAATGTGAAGATGTAAATGGTAAATGTTTTGGATTTTAGCAGCTAATGATGATGCAGTGGGTGGCATTTTGAACTTGGAACAGATCTAGCTTGGTCTTTGTTCAACTGATAAATGACAGTCTCTGTCTAATAAATCTCACAAGATATTTGTTATCCTCTTCCTCAACTGAAGTGCTCTCCATCCTTTTTGGGTAAACAGAAACCACTATCAATATAAAATTTGCTTGCCCACAATGTCAATCTCTATCCTGCCTCCATTGCCTTTTTTTGATACCTTCCTAAATGATGCTACTGTGATGCATGTGCAATGCACGATAGGCAAAAGAATTGACTGAGCCATCTGGCTTTGTTTTTTGTTGGATTTATTCCTTCAATAAAGTCTTTAAAGTCTTGGGATGTAGAAGTACTTATGTGTACATACCATGTAATCTTACGTCTATCATCTCTTCAAAAAGCAAATAGCATACCAGAGAGGATGCCTTGTGACAATTACATTTCACAAAATAATTTTGCTAAACCCATAGGCAACTTAACCAGAATTTAAATATGTAAAAGTTATATGTAAAAATTGATGGAAACAGATAGTGAAATTCTAACCTCTTGATTTTATTGAATCTTTCTCTTTTCTTCATTTCAGCTGCCAGGTACTGCAGTATGTTAATTGAAGAAGGTGGATTGCATCATTTGTTTAACATCAAGGAAAACAGCCAGACTGATCCAGATGTTCAGCGAATTGCTGTCTCCATTTTAGATAGCTTAGAAAAACATATTTTGCGACATGGACGGCCACCTCCTTATTAAAAAAACCAATTGAAAATAAGCCAAATTGAATGAAAACATGTAACAGGGAATAGGTGTGCAAATTATCCTCTCATAATCCCTTACTGAAATGTGCCTGGTTGGAATGTTGATAAAAGTTATCACCATTATTTTTTTGCCAGTTGGTATGGAAGCAGGGCTAGTACATGTTATCTTTAACAGCCTTCAGCATTAAGGGGTTGTCAAGAGGATCTAGAAAAAAATCGTAATTGGTAATATCTACCAGTATCACCTCTGGCTGTGGAAAAGTGGAAATTGTGCCATTCAGATGTGCATTCAAAATTAAACCTGTAGACTGTGTGAGTTCATCAGAAAATTGTTTCTGCTTGCTTCATCCCTTCAAAATAGTTGTGTTTTAATAGAACTATCCACTGATTCAGTATTTGGAAAAAAAACAAAAACCTGTGCTTGTAATGTCAGCACTATACAGCTCAAGACACTATCATATATTCACACATTAGAACTCAACAGGTTATGAGTAAGGTGACCAGGGATATTTGTTCTTCTGTGGACCTTTTAAACTCACGGATTCTTCAATTTCTACTACCGTAATATTTCATATAAACTCTTTAGCAGAAACATCTGAGTTTCAAATCATGTTTTTTTTTGATGTTCTGTAATATACTTTGATGAAAATCTCCATGGAGGAAGAAATGTAGGAAGGGAAAGATTGAATTATAATTACAAAAAAAGTAAGAATATATATTATGTTGCTACACTTGTAACTAAGTGTAAATTTGAAAAAAAAAAAAGAGTAGAGAAAACTAAAATTTTCTACCAAAAGAATTGCTGGGGGAAATTTGCTCAATTTATGGGATTGTACATCTAATCACCTTATTTATGACAGACTGTTAATAGCTTTGTTCTTTCTCATAAATACCATGTCAGTATTTGTGCAGTGAGCTTTATGTGGAAGGTAATGCCATACAAAATTTCACCCAACATTTTATGTAAAGTCTGGTGTAAATTACATTCTTGTGTGGTATATTAAAATTTTTTTACATAAAACATTCCATGATTAAAAACTCAATAATGCATGTGTTGCTGCTTAATGGAATAAGGTGAAAATAAGAACACAAAGTCCACTCTGAAATAGATGTCAGCAAACCATGGTTTGGCTCAGGCTTACCTAGTCAAGGTGTGGAAGCTGCACAATGGCGAACACTATATAATAGAAGGAGCTAACCTGGTTACAAGAAAAATGACATTAGTTTTCTGTCTATGAGAAGCTAATTGTGTGATTTAATGTATATGATTTTCAGAAATAAGTCTGAAGTTCAGTGAAAGACTCATTTGCATAAAACTGTATCTTAAAGCTACAGTCTTGAACTTCAGTTATTTGAGAAGGCCCCACAGAATAAAAGAAATCTAACTTCTCAGATAGGTTTATGTGTGTATATGTACAAATTATTAACATTATAGCTACGATCCTGATTTATTTTTTTGATAAATGACATAAAAAACAAAGAATGCTTTCCAACAAATCTTTAATTGTATAATTTGCCCTGTCTGAAATGTGGGTCCAGATGATTTTTCCATTCATAAACCTATGTACCCCATATTTCTGGGATAAAAAACTCTTAAAAAAAGAAAAAACCTAACTACACAATGTATTCATATTAAATCTCATTTCTTTCATTCTGATTTTAATCTCAAATATGGTATGCAGTAGTCTATGTTTACTAGCTATATTTCTGAAAACCCATGTAACTGAATGATTTTCCAGGAATAATTAAGCTTTATTTTTTTAAAGTCATTCATTTATCTTTACCCAAACACAATACTTTGAACTACTAAAAATACTCACCTTGAAATCTTATATAAAGTTATTTAGCAATAGCACCTAACTAATCTTGGTTGTTCTTGAAAAGTTAACGGGATCATGCATAGCTAATACTCAGATTTGATACCATCAAGAAATCCTAGATTTGTAGTCTAGATTAGGAATTAAAAAAAAATCTATGGAATGATAAGGTTAAAAACCCCTTTCATGTTGTTGCCAAGAAAACAAGATGGTCATGTCTATGGAGTCACCAGAAAGTGACTTTGACCCTAGAGAGATCTTACCTTAGCATTTCTGAACTTTATATATTACCACTATATAGCAATGATTATGATAGGGCTCCAAGAATTTGGATAGAATGGGCACAAGATTTTGAAAGAGTTCTTAGTGAGGTGTCTTCTGAAATTCAAACCACTGCTAAGTATTGTCAGGTATGGTACTTTAATTTTCATCATCATCCCATCTTCAAAATGATATTCACAGACTCACTGAAGGAAAATAAAAATGGCTGAGTGGAGCCATTTTAATTAGAATTTTAAAAAGCAAATGGTATAGTGATAATCATCTGCGCCCCAACATGTTTATTGATTTTTTTAAAAAAAACACCTGATTTATTTCCTTTGGAGAATTCAAGCTACATCTGAACTTGAAGGAATGTCAAAACGATATATCATGTCCACACTTTTCTAAATGCAACATCAAATTCCTGGTTTAGGCCGTAAATATTATATCATAAATAGTATATGATAGTCTACAACAGGACTCCTAAATTGGCATGTTCAGGAATGTACTAGAAGAAACTGAAGTGATAAAACCCTGTTTCAATTTCACTTAATTTTAAATTGGCCATCACAGAAATTTGGATTAAGCAACACAGCTTCCCAGTCTCAATATGTGTAAAAAATAAAACCATTATGCTTTTTTTTTTTTTTTTACAGAAAGTGCATATATTCCTTGGCACAAAACACTGAACCACAAAGTAGCCAGCCACATCTTAATGTAATTTAGCCCTGTAGTACTTCAGGTTTCAGGGAATTGTGCACACCTGGAAAACTAGTTTTTCTCAAACTAGTAGAACCTCTTCTTCAAGTTTAGTTTCCCTCCTGGTGATCTTTGGACATGTCCAATTACCTGATAATAAAATGGAAGTGTGTTGGCATTACTTCCCTCCAAGATGTTTTTCAACTTCCTAGTCTAGTTTTATAGTTTGGAACTTCCTGGTGGTCTCCCATATAATCTGGATTAACTACAATTTGGTACAGTTGTTGCAAACTCAACTCTTGAAGACTTTACATAGACACGTCCATTCATTTTTCTTGCCTTATTCAGCAATGTTTTGACTACTTGTTCTATCCTAGATCCTGGTATTTCTGATAATCTCTCATTTAAATTAGGAATAACTCTTGCTTTATTCCCTGAATCCAGACAACTATTCGCTACGTGCAAATAACCTATTAAAACCGTTCCTGCATCTAAAAAAACCCCCCACCCGAAGTCATTCTAACCAAGAAAGATACCGATTTCCTCTCAGCCTAAACCCACTTCAGCAACACAACACAAAAGCACGTACAACACCACACGCAACACCTTCGACGAAAAAAAATCGCGCCCTTTCCGGCTTTCTGCAGGACCGATCTCGTTCATCCATTGCTCGACACTCGATTCCGCTCACTGGTCAACGAGACATGCTTTCCACCGACTCTACGTACACCGAACAGACGCCTGCGCCTTAGTTTTGGCGGCTAAAGATCGTTCTTCTCGGGCCGCTTCCGGTTGTTGTTGTTGTTGTTGTTTTCTTCCCCGCTTTCCGGTTTGGGGAAAGTGGATGCCGCTTCTTTGCAATGGTGCGCTTCCTGCAGCTCCGACAACGAGCCCCGCTCATCATTTGTGGAAATTGTCCGGCTGTGCAGGTGAACGGGGCGGGAGGCGGTTGTAGAGTCCGAGCGAGAAACGAGAGGGACGGGAGAAGAGAGAGCGCGTTTAGAAAAAGGCAGAGAAGTCAAGAAGGGCGAAGCTGTCGAGGGGCGAAGCTGCTCCGAGGACGAAAGAATCTCTTCCTCGGAGCAGGAGATGCCCGGCAATCGGTTGCCGGGCAGAGGAGCGGCGGGCAGGGGCAGATCTTTAATATATAGCTTTGAGATTTTCTTTATAAAATACTTTATAGAATTTCCTGGAGGCAAGAAGCGTTTTGGGACGTTCCCTTTGCTCAGCCTTGTTTACCAGTGGCATTGCAGCAATGTCGGGCTTGAGTCATGGTGTCTAAGGCAGTGTTGCTCAACCTTGACAATTTTAAGGCATGTGGACTTCAACTCCCAGAATTCCACAGCCAGCATTGCTGGCTGTGGAATTCTGGGAGTTGAAGTCCACATGCCTTAAAATTGTCAAGGTTGAGAAACACTGGTCTAAGGTGTAGTCTTCAGGTTTTAAGGTAAAAGAAGCTACCTAAAGGCAGCAACCATAAGAAACTTCTGCTTTTGCTTCCTGCTTTTTGCTGGCAATATTGGGTATCAATTGTATCAATAGCACCTTACTACTTCTGAAACAATGCACTACTCTCAATCCAGCAACTCTTATGCTAATACCAGATTCAACTTTGCCTGTGCACAACTGCATGCAAACACTAGAACTACAATATTCTTGCAGACCTGACCTTACTGACCAACCATACCAAAATCCACCCTCGTTCAGAATTGCCTATCTCTAATATGCTCTGGACCTTGCGCAAATAAACTTCTCTGCTAACCCCTCTGGAATTCGTAAGAGTTCTTTCATTTTCCACAAGACTTCTGTATTAATAATAATGTACTAAACTTGTATGCTGCCGGTCACTGAACAACTCTGGGTGGCTCACGATAATAAAACAAATTTCAATAAAACATAAAGATAAAAGTTGTCAAGCACGAGGAAGCAAGAGCTTCTGCCTTGTCGAAGGCCAGGGGGAAGAGCCAGGTCTTCAAAGCCAGGTGATTTTTAAGGGCAGATCCATGTACAGAGAGTATTGCAGCAGTCAAGGCACAAGGTGACTAGGGCCTCTTGATGTAGGAACAGGCGCAACTGAGGCACAAAACGGAGTTGGGCAAAGGCCTTTATCCAGGATTGTGACTTCAGGAAAAGCCCCAGGTTGCATAGCAACCTTGAAGGGGGGAGGTCAAAGATGGAATATCTGCAGATCCAGACAATTCAGACACCCACAGCCACTCACTCTTGAGTGGTCTAAAATGGGCCGTGGTTCAGTGAGGATCTTCTTTAAACATAAACATAAATAATGTTTATAGTGGTGATAAGAACATTTTACGTAGTTTAGCTTTTGGCAACACAGATAAGTGAAACTAAAGCTTTTGGGGCTTGAACTGTACAAGAGACTCAATTGAACCCTCTGTTGAGAATTTAAAACTTCTGCCTAAAAGATATGCAGAAAAGGTAACGAACTAACACATAATTGTGTTGCCCAGAACAGCTCTTCCAGATGGTATTTGAGTCATGATACTATACTAATTTGGTTATACTTTGGAACAGTTTATTTTTATTAAGTTTTCACTAGCTTTTTAAACTCACAGAATCTTCAGATTCTACTAATATTTCATATAAGCTCTTTTAGCAGAAATATTTGAGTTTCAAACCACAGCTGGGCAGCTTACAAATATAATGAATAAATGAACAAATAAACTGGGTCAAGAGACACTATATCAGATACACTGATATAAAGACAAACAAATTACAAGTAGTCCTTGCTTACCGATGGAAATTGGGACAAGGAACTTTGTCACTAAGTGATGCAGTCATAAAGTGTGATGTCACATGATTGTACCAACTTATGATGGTAGTTCCAGTAGTCCCAACTGCCAACAATAGGCAAAATCTGCATGGTCACAGTATTCTGCAGTCATATGATTGCCTTTTGTGACCTGTAAGCTTCCCATTGACCTTGCTTGTCAGAAGCTGACAGTAAAAGTTGCAATGGATACAACTACAAGGTCAATTCCTAAGTCCTCCTTCAGTGCTGACAATAACTTTAAGCAGTTGCTGAATGAGTGGTCATTAAACAAAGATTACCTGTGGGCATATGCTCCTGTTGAAGCTGGATAGTTCATATCTATATTATGTCTATTTGGAGATCGTGCCTTAGAGTAATATAAACATAACCTGGCAGTGTGATCAATCCTTTGAGCATTATTTTCTGTTTGATGTCATGATGTATTTTATGTATGGCAGGCAGAAGCTTCTCCGTATTCTTTAGTTGACATCTGCTTGAATGTCTTGGTTGCTGATCTGGCAAAATTCTGTACAGAAAGGCCAGATGGGTCACTGTGCTTGAAAGAATCCGAAAGGCTTCCACAAGAAGTAGCTGATCGATTGCTGCAAATAATGGCATATCAAGGTAAGAAGTTTCTGGGCCAGAAGAGACAGAATGTTACCCAATATGGGATTGCTCATAAATTAGAACTCTTAATTCTGTTTATTTCATATTTTGGGGCTCTGAAGGATTTAGTAAAATAGCCTATGATTCAGCAGCGCATATAGTTATGCATTGCTTAACAATGGCAATCCAGTGCCAATTTTCATCATAACTTGAGGATTACTTGAGTTAGCTTGCAGTACTTTTAAAATTACAGGTATCTTTTATTAATAGAGTTTTACCAGCTGGCAGTTCTTAGCTACCTTTGGCTCATTTTGTAAACTGAATATGTTTGGTTGTAGTTAGTGCTTGGATGGGTAGCCACTTGGGAATTTCAGTGGTGTTGGCTAACCTGTGAAGTTGCAAAAAACATTCTGGAAGAAGTCAAGTAGTGAATTACTTCTGCCAAGGAAGTGACATATATGCATTATCAGGAGTCAAGTTTAACTTGATGCTGCTTGTAAGCGCTATGTGCTTAGAGCTCAAAGCATTGTTAGAGACTCCACACACCCACTTCACGGTCTGTTTCTGTGGCTCCCCTCTGGGAGGAGGTTTCGAAGTATTTCTAGCAGGACTACCCGATTCGCTAATAGCTTTGTTCCCTATGCCATCCGTCTGGTAAACTCGCAAGATTCATTTTTCTCACCATGCACATGTATACATAATCCAAACTAGACTGTGTTGTTTCTCTGTGTCATATAATATATATGTGGCTATACGCATAATTCTGTATTTATTTGTTTTTGTCATATTTATGTAGTGTATATTGGAGGTGGTGACCCTTCGAGACCTATATGCAGTGAAATTTCATTTTATGTATGCTGATTAGTGTATATTCAAAGTGACAATAAAGTTATTGTTCTGTTCTAACTTGTGGAAATTTTTATCATTAATATGCAAATAGGAAACAGTTGGACTGATTCCAGAACTTTACTTGGTCTGATGTATATCTTTTTTTCCCCCTTTACTGCCAGAGTTGTTAAATGATGGCACAGTGGGCATTTTCCAAGGAAACCAAATTCGTTTGAAGCAAGCTTGTATCCGCAAAGCGAAAATCTCAGCCCAGTCCTTCAAGAAAGCCTTCTGCCATCATAAGCTAGTACAGCTTGATGCGGCAGGAATGAATGAAACTGTTACCATTGCAGATGTCGTGAGTGGATTGGGAAGCAGTAAATGGATCCAGAACAACCTCCAGCGTCTTGTCTTGGACTCGTTACTTCTTTTTCCTACAAATTCATATGAAAGATGCTTCAGTCAATTCCCCAGTCTTCGTTCTTTGAGTGTTACAAATGTGATGTTCGGGGATGAACATCTAGCAGACGTTGCTACCCTACCAAGATTAGAAAACTTGGATATATCCAACACTTCCGTTACAAACATATCTGCGCTCCTTGCCTGCAGGAATCGTCTGAAATCTCTAACTATGTACAGTTTGAAATGTTTGAAAATGCCTACCACAAAAGTTTTAGATATAATAAGAGGACTAAAATATCTGGTTCATCTTGATATCTCAGAGGATCAGCATTCTGGATCCGAGATTGCCTTTGGTTTGCTAAGGCAAAAAGACATTCTGCCTAATCTTGTATCGTTGGACATTTCAGGGAACAAATCTATTACTGATGAAGCCGTAGAAGCGTTTGTCAGGCAGCGGCCGAAAATGCAATTTATAGGTTTGTTAGGTACAGAAGCTGGATTCACAGAGTTCCTTTCAGGACAGGGAAGCATGAAGGTTGGGACCACTGAAATGCACTGCAGCTAGAGTGATAATTGATAATCCAGAAGACTTTTATGATTTGAAAACCTTAGTTCTAGTTAATTTATTTGTAGCATAGAGCTAATAACATTGATATTAGTAAAGTTTCTTTCTTGAAAATGGTTATGTTATTTTTAAAAAATTTTTTAAAGAAAATAACCAAATAACTAATAGCCTTCTTGTACTTCTACAAAAGATGTATGGCTTTTGCCTATTCTCAAACCAACAGATAAAGCCTGTTGCTAGCTGAAAAATTATTTTCCTCCTCCAATTGAAAAAAGATCTGATTTAATATTAGCAAAACCTGAAGGTTGATTTTAATGCCATTATACAAACGCTGGGCAATCCCTGAAGTTCCTCCAAAATGTAACAGGCTGATCTAGGTTCACTTTTAATAAAAGTAGTAGCTAAGTAAGCCATACATTTGGTGGGAAAGTAATATACTGTATATCTTATAACCTGTACATCAGTCTAAAGTCCTTGATCAGCCTTGATCAGCCTTGCTGATTAACTCATAACTCAGTAACTCATAACTCATAACTCAGTACAGCTTAACTGTTTTCAAGCTCGTGTGGAAGGGAGAAAAGTGACAAAAGTGATTTTGTGGCTTAAAGTATTATTTAGGATTGGGTGTTTGCCTTCTAACTTTATTGTTGCAAGACTCATGTTAACTACTAAATTTATCATGATCGGAGTTATACTAAAGGAATGAAATCTTCATATGTTGAAAGGTATCAGGGGGAGAAAACGAAATGCAGATTTTAGAAGCTCTGAAACGCTACAATGAAAGGCCAGCATTTGTGAAGGAGGCCTTCTTTCATCTTTTTACACAAACCTGTTTTATGAAAATTACAAAGCCTGAAATTTTAAAGGTAAGGTAAGAGTTTAATTTGAAAGAAATAATTGCTTGCCAACTGTTGAAGTGTGACCATCTTCAATAAATACCATTATTTAAAATTTAAAGATACAAATGGGCTCGTGTCCTTCAATTATTTTTTTTTGTACCAAACGATATAGTGTATTAAAGTTCTCATTGCTGTATCTTTTCATCTTGTAGCTTGTGATTATTGGGATGAGAAATCACCCTTTGGATTTGGCAGTACAGTTGACAGCTAGTGCCTGTGTCCTTAATTTAACTAGGCAAGGCCTAGCAGCAGGCGTGCCTGTTCGTCTGCTCTCCAGTGTGATTCAGCTGCTCCTTAAAGCCATGGAAACTTTTCCTGAACAGCGGCAGGTAAGGATATAGAGCAGGGGTCTTCAAACTTGGCCCTTTTATGAATTCTGGGAGTTGAAGTCCACAAGTCATAAAAGGGCCAAGTTTGAAGACCCCCTAGTATAGAGTAAGATACCCTGTAAAACATGCACACAAATTGGCACAAATCACTCTTCCTACGTTCTCGGAGCAGCTGATTTTGAATTCCTTTGCTGTGAGGAAAAAACAGACCTCAAGAGGTTCTATTTCATTGTCAGAGACAGTGGAAATACATTGGATTTTTTTCACTTACATTGATCTCTTCTTTCACTGGGAGAAAAATGCAAAGCCTTTGCTTGTGCTTTTCATTCATCGGTATATGCTGCATAGGATTCTGTGGCCTACCCACTGCTTCTGCAGAGCTGGATTTGTAAAAGTCGTTTGATATGCCATTCAAAAGCATTAATTTATTTATTTTTATTTACTAATAATTCCCTTTCCTTTAAGATTCAAAGCACTAAAAGCATACCCTTCTTAATTGACCATTTTATGAATAACTAATAATGCAAGTTCTGAATATCACATTTTCATAATATTGAACTCTCTCTTTTTTTCTTTTTTCCACACAGCTGCAGAAGAATTGCCTTCTTTCGTTATCTAGTGTCAGGATCCTCCAAGATGTTCCATTTAATAGGCGAGTGACATTCCGTTTGAATGTTTCACAGTACAAATGGTCAACTGAAAGTGAAGCCTTAATCTGGATGAAAGAGGTTTTCCTTTTTATGCTGTAACATTAAGCTATCTTCCTGCATACTGTATATCCCATTACTAAATTAAAATTCAGATCTCTACTTTTTCAAGCCTGTATATTCTTTGTTTATTAATTTCTCTTCCGAATGAAAAGACTGACAATCTGTTCTAATGCTAATTCCATTTCAATTTAAATTCAGTTCAAATGTGATGCCAATAAAATAAAACCATGTTTTGTGGGATTTTGTGTGACATCTCACCAAAAATTGGCCCTCTGAATATGGATCATTGGAATACTAAGAATCTGAACTAAGTGGTTGGCATATTTATGAGGCCTAATTTCCACGTGTGGAGTGCCACATAGAAAAGCAATTTATAGTTGATTAATACTAAGCATTGTTAAGTACTGAAATGAATGAGATTTATTGACTAATTTGTTATTTACATGATTATATGGAAAGTTGTTTAATAATAGAGTAATTATTAAGATTTAATATGTAAACCCGGACTGGTAGACTTGCTAAAGCGATGTTATTTTGTGGGATTAATCCCACTTTTGTGTTACCCCTTTCCCCTGGTCTAGCCTTTTTGTATGTTTCCCGTTGTCTTATCCTTTTTGACCCTATCCCTTTATTACCTCTATAAAACTCAATAAAATATTTAAAAAAAGAAAAAGAAAAGCAATTTATAGTTGCCTAGCATTGCATTTATAATCAGATCTCCTATATTAGTCCATAGATGGCAGATTGAAACAAATACTGTGCCAGTAATGCATTGTTCATGTATCTTTTCTATAATTATTCATTCTAGACAAATGTTTAAAAGTATCTTAACATAGATTTGATAGAGAAACTGTTGTTCAGGGGTTAAATTTTGTATGCATGCATTCTAATTGTTGGCATCTATAAATAGTAAAATTTCGGTGCATCAGATCATTAATTTAATTTGTTCTGAAAAAAAATTCTGTGCAAAATGCTACAAAATTGTTAGATTGATTTACAAGTGTTCAATTTGCTGATTGAATCCAAATCAACTATCTGATTCAGGGATTAGATAATTGCTTTGAACTGAACCTCTAAAGTTAATTCTTAGCAGAACATACTAGATAAGAAGACATTGCTAAATATGCCTAAGAGATAAAAAGTAAAGCCTATTTTGAACCTAATTCAGCTCAATTTAAAATACAAATACCTACCAGGACTAGGTGTTATGCATATCATATTCCTGGGTTATACATAATTCTTAGAAAATGTAGTTTTTGACTTATTTATTTATTTAGCATTTTATTAACTAGATTTATAAGACACCTCACCTCAAACAACTAGATTTTTGTTTGTAGATAAACAGTTGCTTAACAACTGTGGGATGTGATGAAAAAATAAAATGTTTTTAAATTGCAGGTTTGTGGCTGCCAAATTTGTTGTTCAATGGCTTTGTAATCAGGAAAATCAACATATAGAAAGAATTGCGGTTAATGTAATCTCTATCTTGGCACTTAAGGTATGTGGCTTTACTTTTAATTCAGTATTTTCATTAGGTCTCCAGTGTATTCCTTTAAAAGTCTGGTTTGTTTTTAGCTTTCAGATGAGCAAGCAGCACAACTTTCTGCAGAATTCTACATTGTTGTTGGGGTGAGTCCTCTCTGTGTCCCCTGTATAATAGTTGAGTTAAGGGGACAAGGGATTTGTACTTTCCATATTTTTATACTGTACTATTTGTAGTGCTATCCTTTTCCTTTATAGAAACTGCTTGAAATAATTGAACAAAAAACAAATCAGACTGAATTAGATACAACTTTCCATTTTACACTTCGTGCACTTTGGAATCTCACAGATGAAGCTCCAACTATGTGTGCACACTTTATGGACAATAAAGGACTGGAACTTTTCTTGGATGTTTTAGAGGTAAACAGGGTAGTTGTTGCTCTGATAGAACAGTATATAAGATGATAGAGCACAACATACATTTAGTTATTAATTTCTTTTCTTTGCAGATTTTTTCTTCTGATTCATCTATACAACACAAAGCTCTTGGCCTGCTGGTAAGATCAAAATCAGGTGCAGCATACAAAAATAATTTCATAAAATTAGCATGACTTTTATATAAATAGATCTTTTTATGAGTATTCTTCCTTGCCTTCTCTGCTCCCGCCATGACAAAAAGTTAGGAATGCCAACTGAAAAAATCCCCCCAAAATGTTTCCATAAGGTTTTCCTTCATTTGCCCTCCAAAGTTCATAAAGCTTTACTTTAATTCAGGACAGCCAGCCATATAACTTGCAGTACTCAAACCTTCCTGAAATGAGCCAGTCAAAACATAGCAGTTTTGAGCAATGCAAGTTTTAGGAGCAAAATATGCTAAAATAAGAGTAGAATGGATGTATTAAGCTTCTGCAAAATCTACTTCCACCTTTAATCCCCATCACCATCAAGGTAAAATACAGATAGTCCTCATGTAGTGACTGCCTCATACAGCAACCATTTGCACCCAATCCTCACATTTATAATCTTTGCAAGTCTGAAAATTAATGAAAGCTAAAGTAAGATCATAAGCACAGTCAGGGTTTTGCTTAGTGACCACTTAATGACTGAGTTGGGGGTCACTAAACAAGGACTATCTATATAGGTAAGTATCAGTTCCTTGAGATCTTGCTTTCAAAGTTGTGTTTTTTTCCTATCCTAATAAGAACAACGTGGCCGAGGTGAGAGAGCTGCATCCCAGGCTAATGCAGAAGGACTTCGTGGATCGTGTCAGTGAACTTCTGAACAGTGCTGAGATAGAAGTCAGCTATTTCGCAGCTGGGATTACGGCCAATTTGCTATCTAGAGGTGAACAAGCCTGGACATTGAGTCAAAAACTGAGAAGATCCCTTATTGAAAAGCTGGTATAGTGCATTCAGTACTATAACTCTCTTGAACATTTTCAAGGTTGACCGAAGTATTCAAACTTGTATTCTCTGTTACAGCATTCAACCCTTTTGAAGTGGCCAACACCAGAATGCAAGATGGTAGCATTGCCAGCCTATAGGTATAATGTTTGTAAAAATAAATCTTCAACAATTCTGTACTTAACTGCTTGCATCTCTGCATGCTGCCTGCTCATGTGCCAGTGGATACCTTTCCTGGCATATGCAAGCTTCCCACCCCACATGATTTTTAAAACAATCTGTTAATTAAACCTAATTAAAACAATGGAAATCAGATACACTGAGAACAAGATGTAAAACAGAAATCTTTCATTCATATGTGTATTTATTGATCTGACACTTATGAACATCATAGATTCCAGAATTTTACCAGATCGAATTAAAGATCACATTTGTGTACATTTATAAAGCAGTCTAAGTGCTGGAGATTATTGCTCATGTTCAACTCATTAGAAATAAGCCTGCAAATTTGAGTGCCCTTAATTCTTTAGTACAAATGTTTCCTCTTTCTCTGCTTTCTGTGCCTACTTTAGTGTTAACCAAGATTTCCTCTTAGAAGCTGGTTGGTAAACTCAGGTTAGCATTAATTTGGGTAGCAGCATAATAGTTATATACCAGTGATGGCAAACCTTTTAGAGACCGAGTGCCCAAACTGCAACCCAAAACCCACTTATGCATCATCGGGTGCCGGGTGGGTGTGGCCCATTGGCTGTGGGTGGCCCATTGGGGGGGTGGCCCATTGGGGGGGCGTGGCTGCGGTGGTAATGGCAGACTGGGTGGGACTAAAAAATTCAATCAATCAATTCCAACTTTGCAAGATCTTTTTTTTCCCCGCAAGAAGTTGAAATTGACTGATTGATTGAACCTTTTTTTTTTTTGCACACGACAGCAGAGGCCTAAAGCGAAAAGGTTTTATAAAACCTAGCTGAAGGCCTAGGACTGGGGCAACGGCGCGCCTGCCCACAGAGAGGGCTCTGAGTGCCGCCTCTGGCACCCGTGCCATAGGTTCGCCACCACTGTTATATACGATTCAGAAATACAAGGTGTGAGAAGAGAAGCAGATGTTGATATGAGCCGTTTTTAAAAAAATTCTCTCTCCTTGGGGTCCCTATGGTACAAAGAAGGAACTGACTTTATTCTTTTTTCCTCCATTAACATTACTACACCGGCTCAGTATTTTATATTCTTCCTATTGCTGATTTAATGGGTTAAGCATTTGTACAACTCCTGCCATTAACTGTACTAATTCAGGATCGTAGTAGCCCAGTCTGCCACTATCAGCATATTGCACTAATAGGTAATCACAAGGTATTTTAGAAATGCAAATGTTGTATTGTGGCTTCATTGACTTCATGATTTAAGAATTTGCCAGAATACAAGCACCTGATAGCACAAAATCAACTATTAACATATGCTTATTTTTTTTATGACCGATAAGTTTGCAAAATATTCTTTTAATTCTCAGGTCCCTCAAGCCATTTTACCCACTGCTTGACTGCTTTGCATTACCTGGAGTACAGATCTGGGCTGCGTGGGCTATTCTGCATGTCTGTTGCAAAACCCGTAGGTATTCTTCAATAAGCATTAAAACTTCCATTTTTTAAAAAGCTTGATATTTATTTAACTTTTTAAACTGAGGGTGGAACTGTTGCATCAATTCATAATTACAATAATGCCAAATTTAACAATCCTGCTACGTGAGTTGTACTAGTTGCCAATCAGCTTCTGGTTGTAATTCAAGGTGCTGATTGTCACATACAAACCTACATGGTTTAGAGGTGGCTATTTGGGGAATTGCCCCTCCCATACTCTTCAGGCATCCTCTGCACTCCAGTAGGCTCAGCTTGCTTAAACTACTATCAATTAAGCCGTGTCACCTAGGAAATGAAACTCCTCTGTCACTGCATATACCTTTTGGAATGGCATTATCTGGAGATCTAAACCTTGGATCAGAAAGTTTTTGGAGAGCTCCTTTTAACTGAGGAATTGATATGTAAATATAATATGCCCCCCACCCCGTAGATGGCTTTTTTTTCAATAGAATATTCTTTCTTTGAACTTCGTGAAGCTGCCCAGAATCATTTTGAAGTTGGGCAGCCTACATGCAAATGAAAAATTAGAGTTCTTATGAGCAATGGGGGAAGAAGTATATGAACCTGACAGATATTTCCAAATCACTGCCTTATATCTGAATCTTGAGTGGAATTGTAAATCAGCATGATTTGCAGTTTTAGTGATACTGAAAACAAAGTTGATTATGTTGCAGCATGCTACCTTTTTGACAAAACCTCTAACACTCATATTTTAATACTGTCCTGTTTATGTTGAAGGTACTAATTAGCAGTCTTATTTCTTCTTAGCTGCCAAGTACTGTGCAATGTTAATAGAAGAGAATGGATTACAGCACTTATATAATATCAAAGAAAATGAACAGAGTGATCCTGATGTCCGGTATCTAATAACGGAGGTATTAAGTTATGTGGAAACTCATATAAAGTATTATGGGAAGCCTAAACATCTAAAAGAGCTACAAGCAATTCAAATTGATAAATGAGGTCATATCTTTACCTCTGCCATATAGTGTTGACGGCTGTACTGGTGATCCATTTCACAATTTTTGTTTTTATCAAAATGGCTCTTCTTGCATCTTTTTTAAGTCTTCTGTAACTAACGTATGGCTCTTGTATATTGACAAATTGCTTAGTAGTAGCTTTGAAGAAAGATGCCAGTTTTTATAAAGGTAATTGGGAAGTCCAAGGCTCTGCAAATGGAGGCTTTGAAATAATGTTTTTTTCTCGCTAGAATCTCTTTGTTTTATTGTCCATTCTCCATAAGTAGTAGAATTGATATTGTTCACTGATTGCCGAGACAAAATAAGAACAGCTTAATATTACTGACTGACTGGCAAGTTCTGGATAAGGAAATGTGGGTTTGTTTCTACTAAAACAATGAGTCTGCAGCCAACAATGGGGTCAGTCACAAGCCACAATGATACACTGTTGTGCATGACCAAAGAAGAGATTCTGGCTTTAGTCTATTGTACATATATGTTTGCCATGATGTAATATAAACCACTTTGTTACTGCATTTTATTTCTGGGTATATAAACTATTTTTCTGGGTATATAAACTTTTATTTCTGGGTATATAAACTATTTTTCTATGAGTGGAAAAAATCTTTCAAGATACTTTTTAGGTTTTATCTAAAAAAAAAAGATATTTGTCAATGATGGTATTTCAAACTGACTGCATGTTTCTGTCTTCAAGAAAATTGGTCATAATGCAAAATAAAGCTTTCATAAAGTCAAATTCATTATATGGTAGCTAACCATGTAGAAATGAATTTTATTTTTGCTGTTATTATTGTCACTGGATGTAACATTTATGTTCTCCCAAAGTTGGGTGGCTTGGATTAATTGTTGTGAGAAGAAAATATAGTAGATGCTGAATTTATCTTATGGGAAGTTGCTAGTACAGTTAAAGCAATATATCTGAGGAAAAATGGGGTAAGGGAAAACTTATGAAGAAAAATCATAAGTTAAATTATCTCAGGCACTCTAGAAGGGGGTGTGCTAAAATAGGGTGCATTTTATGAATAGTCAAGTTGACCATAACTCATTAATGGAAAGGGAAAAGTCAGTATAGTCTAATATTTTGACTTTTTATACTGCTATCTATTAGTCAAAGCTTATTCCAATTAAAGATCAGCATAAAACAAACAATTATTACAGAATGGGGCCTGTTTGTAAATGTAAGCACAAGAATTTATTGATTTTGTCCCCTGGTCTCAGATCTCTAGATCCTGTACCCACAACATTCCTGGATGTTCTCACAACTCTTAGGCAAACTCCAACCACTTTCTTTCAAAGAATGCCCTTCTCTGTGTTGGTTTATTTAGGAGAAGGAAAATAGCAAATCCCCCTCCCCCTTTCTCTTCTGTAGCTAAATGAAAGGGTTGGGAATGTGGGTGCTGGATATAAAATCTTTGAGGATGAGGGGCTGAATAGTTAATCAATGCAAGGATCATTATCAATATAAAGGATAAAGAACTATACAGGAGATGAAGCCAAAAAGATAAAGGAAAGGAAATGAAATAAATGAAATCTGCTGGGCTTTACTCATTGGTGGTTTGTCCAGCCAGGGACAGAAAAGGGGAAAATATGTAGCTAGAACAAAATAGGACAACAGATAATAAAAACATTGTCACTCAGATCATCCCCCCCCCCCCAAAAAAAAATAAGTCATTCTATTTTGTCTCCAGCTTTTGCTACTTGCACTTATTTCCTGGATCATAAATTCCAGACACCTGAGATGGCAGGAGGATTTTCTCCTGTGACAGAAAAAAAAGGCAAAGTGGTGGCTCTTCTTTTAACGTTCACTAAGAAGGGAAATCTTCCTGTTCCTGACTGGCCCTTTAACAAACTTCCCCAGTGACTTTTAACATACGTTCTAAAATTGCCAAGGTGGAGAAACACCGGTCTAAGCAAATTAGATTTCAGTGACAGCTCACATCCTACACACCTGCCTACTTGTACATTAAACCTGGAATCCCTAATATGGTATATTTGGCTGTCTTAGTTGACCCAGCCCTGCTCTATTTTATTTTTGATTTCATTAATCTTCATATTTTGTAACTAGGACATTTCTTCCTGAACCCCCTTTTCTAGTTTTCTAGTTTGGCAGCAACAAACATCTTTGATTAATAAGCTCTACAAATAAAAATAGCCAGGCCAGATCTTACTAAGGCCTATTTTAGTCCAGCATTGTGTTCCTCACAGAGGCCAGGGAGATACCTTTGTGGCATTCACAATAGGAGGTTGAGACATACCCCTCTCCGGCTGCTATTCCCTGCAACTGGTATTTGGAGAGATTCTCAGCTCACTCCCATTCAGTCTTAAAATTACCTAGACCAGTTCTCTATAAATTTATCCAACCCTCTTTTAAATATTTTCAAGTTAGTACCAGTGCAACTTATTTATTATTCATCCGGCCACAAGGCGACTTTTGTGACATGTTGTATGGGCAAATGGTGCTTCATAAAGCACATTATTTTATCTGTGGTAAATTTCCTTCTGATTAGTTTCATTGAATGAACCCTGGCCCAGAGAAAAAAAATACTTTCCCCTTTCTCCTTGCCATGCATGATTTTATGTATTTCAATCATTCTCCTGCCCCCAGTTGTCTTTATTCTATGCTAAGGCATCCCAAACATTTCAGGCTTTTCTTATTAAAAAGTTGTTCAAAACCATGATGTCCTGTTCTCTACTTTATATATATTTTTTTCAAATGCAGCCTCCATGACAATGCAGTTTTCTAGTTCCCTTGCATGGACCATTACAGTGCTGATAATTTTCTATCCTTTTCCTAATATTTTCTAACACAGAATTCACATTTTTCACAACTGAGCACTGAATTAACATCTTTACTTCAGGTATCCATTATAACCTCAAGATCTTTTTCCTGATTACTGTATATTGAAGTTACATGTTTTTTGTCCACTATGCATAATTTTACATTTATTTAAACGAAACATTTGCAATTTGATTAACAATTGTTTAACCAGATCTTTTTGCAATTCTTCAAGATCGTATTGGATTTTTTTTTACCACCATGAATAGTTTGTATGATCTACAAATTTTACTAGGATACAGTTTAACTCCAAATCAAGTATTTAGATGCTACCTTAAAAGATATCTACCTACTCTCTGATTTCATAAGAACAAAATGTCAGCAAACAAGTCTGGAGAAATTAGAACTACCCACTATTAATAGATTGAGCAATGTTCCTGTTGTAAGGAAATAAAGCAATGGCATACTTACTCATTTTCAGTTTAGTCTTTTAATTCTGAGCTTTATATAATTCAGAAATGTAGAGAAAACTCATATAGGTTTACATTATTTTGTCATAAAATAATTGAAGTTCTTAAGATGTTTAGGGAATTACATGAAATTCTGCATTTGATAGCCATTAAAAAAAAATCCCAAAGCTAACAATGGCAAACCACTTCCATCTATACTAAGAAAACTGCATTGGTTTATCCATTATAAATTACCAGAAGCTGAAGCTGATTCAAAGGTGACTTTATACATTATTGTAAATTTTCTTTGGAGAAGAATCTTATTTTTTTGTACATTGCTTATAAAATCTAACAAATGCAGTTGCTTGCTCTTTGGGATGATAACACAGTCTCTCCTCATTTAGCAACTGAAATCTGTTCCTAAGTGAACATTGTGACAGAAAAAAAGAGAAAAGCTGCAAAATCACCAACTGCTGCTGTCTCGCTGGATAAAAGTTTTCTTGTGCAGTAATAGTCAGTGTTACTCTCTCCCTCATAAGTGCGGGCTTTGGTTGGAAAATGATTTTTTTCATTACTGTCATATTTGAACAGTAATACCCTTTACATTATTACTGTTTAGTTCTTGACATCCAAAACAGATTCCAAGCCAAAAAAACCCCCGAAAAACATTAAGCCTAAAGCTTATAAGGAAAAGCTTTCCAATAAGGCACAGCCTTTTGATCACCTCCTTGTATTGTATTCAGGCACTTTCAGAAACAGTGTTAGCCTTATTTACCAGTGAATTTTGGAAGTCGTTTCTCAATGAAAGCAGCCATTCCTTCCTGGCGGTCTCTGGTAGGGAGATTCTGCGTTTAAAATACAAGTCAATCATTTAATATTTCATCTCTTAATCTTTTCAAAAACTTTCAAGCCTTTGATTGATACACCAAAATTTCCCATCTCCTCAAACTTCCCAAGATTGTAGGCATAGGGCAAGGGTAGGCAACCTTGGCTCTTTTGTGACACGTGGACTTCAACTCCCAGAATTCCTGAGCCAGCATGGCTGGCTCAGGAATTCTGGGAGTTGAAGTCCACGAGTCACAAAAGAGCCAAGGTTGCCTACCCCTGGCATAGGGTAATTGGGGTTAAAGTCCAAAACCTCTACAGCAGTGATGGCGAACCTTTTAGAGACTGAGTGCTCAAACTGCAACCCAAAACCCACTTATGTATTGTTGGGTGCCGGGTGGATGTGGCCCATTGGGTAGGCGTGGCTGCGGTGGTAACAGCAGACTGGGTAGGACTAAAAAGTTCAATCAATCAATTCCAACTTTGTGAGGTCTTTTTTTTTCCCTGTGAGAAGTTAAAATTGATTAAGTGATTGAACCTTTTTTTGTTTTTTTTTGCACACGGCAGCAGAGGCCTAAAGCGAAAAGGTTTTATAAAACCCAGCTGAAGAGCTAGGACTGGGGCGACGGCATGCGTGCCCACAAAAAGGGCCCTGCGTGCCACCTGTGGCACCCGTGCCATAGGTTCGGCATCACGGCTCTACAGCATTGTCCTAGTTTCCAGCTCCTGTTGTTTCTTTCTCCTGTCAAAACTCCTAATAGATGGGCTCTGTGTCTCAAAAATAAATAAATAATACTCACTGGGTTTCATAATTGTTTTTTATTTGATCTACACTGTCCAGGCTCATTTTGGAGCTGGGCCGTCTCCAAATATTATTAAAGAAAGAAAGAAAAGGCAGGTGTAGTTTGGGATCTGTGTGTGTATGTGAATGAATACACAAGAACTGCAATTCAATGTACTGTTTTTTTTAATTGATCTGATGTGGGGTGTGGGTGCTTTATTTGTATTATTCAGATCTGAAGGATGGAGAAAAGTATAGCAGCCCAAATATCTGAGAAGAACACACACTGAAGCTAAAATGTGGAAACATCTGGCTCTTTTTACTAATATTTGTATTGTTACACCATGAGATTCCCTAATGTTTGGGGGGGAGGGGCAAGAAACATTTTTTTAAAAAAAAGAAAACATGGGGTTACCTGAGCATAGCACATTCTTTCAATAGCCATTCCTGAGGCAATATCAACCTGAAAAGAAAGAAAACATTTTTGCCTGAAGGAAAGCGGTACCAGGTTACCAATTCAGAAATAATATATTGAAGTATAGTTGTAATGAATTATAATCATCATGCTGGACTTCCCCCAGGTTTCATCAGTGACACAAGACAAGGTTCTCTCTACCAAGCAAAGCTTTTGGTACATAAACATTAACAGATTTATTATAGGCGCAGCTACATTACATACCCAGAGTAGAGATGTTTGGATTGCGCCAGAGGTAAACAACCTTGTGGGAATTTCAGTAGGAAAATGAGCCTGTGCAATTGCTGTATGTGCACATACACACTATCCATGTCGCCTACAATAACACTTAATTAAGTTACATTTTAAACTTACATTTAAGATAACATTTATGTGGACAACCACATAAATATGAGCCACTAGTGAGCTGGCAGCTGCCAAAAAAGCCAGCATAGTCCTAGGCTGCATTAACAGGGATAGAATCAAGATCATGTGAAGTGTTAGTACCACTTGATCACAGTTAGAATACTGCAGTTTTGGTCGCCACAAAATAAAACCATGTTGAGACTCTAAAAGGAGTGCAAAGAAGAGCAAGAACGAGGTTTAGGGGACTGGAGGCCAAAACATTTAACAGTGCAGGAACTGGGCATCTGGTCTAATGAAAAGAACTGCGGATGACATAACTGTTCCAATATCTAGGGCTGACACAAAGAAGAGGGGGGGTCAATCTATTCACCAAAGCACCTAAAGACAAGACAAGAAGCAATGGATGGAAATGAATAAAGGAGAGAGACCCAACCTAGAAATAAAGAGAAATTTCCTGACAGAAAATCAATCAGTGGAACAGCTTGCCTTCAGAGGTTGCTGGTACTCCATCACTGGAGGTTTTTAAGAAGAAACTGGACAGCCATTTGTCTGAAATGGTATAAGATCTGCTTGAGCGAGGGGTTAGACTAGATAGAAGACCTCCCAGGGACCTTGAAGGTCCCTTCCAACTCTGATCTTCTGTATAACAGAATGCTGTTATTCTGTACAGTATGTTGTCCCTCCTGACACGCAACAGGATGTAAACTCAGGAAAAGGTTCTATAGTAATAGTAGTTTAAGCCTCAGTGTTGTATGGAAATGGTGATTTATAAGGGCGTTATTTCTTCCACTTCTCTATCCTGGTGAAGACATTTTTGTCTCCTTTCACTAATATTGAAAACGCAGCATCAGAATGAAGAAGCAATGATGGTCATTAGTACATGTCTTATCTCTGGTTCTGATTCAGACAATGAAACAGACCTGTCACTCATATCAAATTATCAGATCTGGACTGCAAATGTAGAGATGGCCACAAAATGGCAAGAAAAAGATACGGACAACTTTAACTCTTGCTACAATATTAGTGGACTGAATTTCTGCACCTTAGTTCTGGAAGCTGTAATAAAATGTATGTCTTTTTAAAACATTATTTCTCTTCCTTTCTGTGAAACCTTAAATATAAATTGAAGAAAGCTTGTTGTAATAAATCATTACCTCAATCCCTTTGTTTATAGCCAATTTACCCAGCCTCACAGCTATTGGAGCCTTTGAAAAGAAAAGAAACATTTTTGAATCAGAAATATGTTTACATGTACACAGGTACATATGCACGCACACACACACACACACACACACACACACACACACAACATTAATTCAATCCCACACATAACTAGTCTGTACAAAGTGCCTTAAAGAGGAACCCATAATCAACAAGTGCTACAGATTACAATACAGCATTTTCACAATGAGTAAACACAGGACTGGCTATGGTGTATATTGCATAAATTACTAAAAAAAAAAAAGGAAGATACTTCAAATTTGCAGAACACACACTATTCAGGGAGTTTTGAGGGAGTCTATTTCGGTTTTTCTTCATAAAAACAAAAACAAGATACCATCAAGACTCCTGATGCCAAAGTTGAAACTGTGGTTTCAATAAAAAGTACTCTATTTTTAACAAGCAGAAACATATTGTTTCTTCAGCGATATAGAGAGGAGGGTGAAGAACACACTAACCTGAGGAACTATTTCTTCAGCTAAAGTTAATGCCTTTTGGTATGCTGCATCTCCTTCCTCATTCTGTGGTACTGTGTGATTAAGTAACCCCATGGAGAAAGCCTCTTGCCCATCAATCTGTCTGCCAGTGAAAATGAGCTCTTTGGCAAGGGCAATGCCAATGCAGCGTGGTAAGCGCTGGGTTCCACCTAGACAGGAAAAAAAAATGCAAAATTCATCAATCAGATGTTACAGAATGTTGTTATATGCCTTGGTTTCCATTTCAATTTCAAGGAGAAATGTAACGCAGAACTAAGGAGAAATTTCCTAATAGTGAGCACAATTAACCAGTGGAATGGCTTGTCTTCAGAAGTTGTGGGTGCTCCACCATTGGAGGCTTTTAAAAAGAGACTGGATAGCCATTTATTTGTCTAGAATGGTATAGGGTCTCCTGGTTGAGTAAGGGTTAGACTAGAAGACCTCCAAGGTCCCTTCCAACTCTGTTATTCTATTATTTAATTGCACACAGAATAATCCATATCGCTAAAGTTAAAAGTAGCGATTACAGTGTTTCTCCTAAATTCCGCTGATGGTTCTTTGGAGATTTACTTGGGTTGAAATCTAGTTCTTACTAGCCTACTGATATCAAACTAGATTCGTACAAATCAGCCCTGTAAGATAGGCCAGAAACAGGAGCAGTAGGAATTTCAAGAATGTTTTTTTTATAGTAAAAGAGGTAGGATGGTAGAATGAAAGCCTGCCCAAGTTTCTCTCTGCCTCAGGTAACATTAAACAAAAATAAAGGTAGGGTTAGAACTGTATCTTCTTTTCTGAAAATCCCTCCTGAGTAGTTCTTTTTTATACTTTTCCCAAAGTCATATCTAAATGTCTTTATACTTATATAAATCATATTGGTATAGTGCAGGGGTAGGCAACCTTGGCTCTTTTATGACTCGTGGACTTCAACTCCCAGAATTCCTGAGCCAGCCATGCTGAGGGGAAAGGGAGAGGATTCCAAGCTGAGCCATGCTGGCTCAGGAATTCTGGGAGCTGAAGTCCACCAGTCATAAAAGAGCCAAGGTTGCCTACCCCTGGTATAGTGGAACCTTGTGTTAATAGAATAATTGGTATAAGCAATTTTCTGATACTTCTTAATGTCTTTTAAATATCAAAGTATGTTGTAAAAGTGATTTCTGGGAGTTGCTTGACTATAACATTGCACAAATAACATAAAAATGATGTGTTGCAAACTAAGCCCATTGCACTGAGGCATGACGAATCGAGATTTCACCGTAATCATTTTCGTGAAAAAGTCCTGTTCTCAATCATGGGAACCTTGCATTGATTTACTTGGATTCAAAGTTTAGCATAACTATGTTTTTTGACATTGCCACCTCAAAACAATTACATTTCCATAACCAGGAAAGAAAGCTTTTGGGATTTCATTTTTTTCTTCCTTAGCTAAAAGAAAGCTAATCCAGCAGAGCCGCTACCCTATTTTTTTTTTTCACATTTAGGGTCCTCTCAATTGGGTGGCAAAAGCAGGGCAGTTTTCATGAGCTAATCAGTTCTCTTTCACCTGGCAAATGGAGGGGCTATATAAATCAACAGATTTATTCTCATTTTACCTGGCTACATTCATTTCCAGAACAAGGGAAAAAAGAGGGGAAACTCTATGTGGGAGAGAGAGGAGTAGCAGATCTACTCCTCTGCTCGACAGAGCAGAAAACAACATATAATAGCAGCTTGATTCCTGGGAGAGTTGAGAAACCTGAAGATGATCTTAGTTGACAGTTCCAGGCATATGTGCAAACTATATATATATATATAACAGTATAATATCTGGAAAATTGATCATGCAACCTTACCTGCACCAGGGAAAAGTCCTCTGGTAGTTTCAATTAAACCCATTTTAGCTGACGATGCTGATTTGGAAGGAAAAAAAGACATATACAAGATGAAAATGTTAGACTAGTATAAATGTAGCACACATTTAATAAGTCTTAAAAATATACAGTTTGGCTGGACCAAGTTCATAAGACAGGGCAATAATGTCAACAGCTTATGATTTTTAGATGCTACAGGTTGAATTAAATTAAATTGTTTTCAGAATAGGAACAGAAAGTATTGGATATACTGATATTCTCACCTGCTACTCGGAGATCACAAGCTAGCGCCATCTCCAAGCCGCCACCCAAAGCATAGCCATCAATTGCAGCAATACTCGGCATTGGTAATGCAGCTGCAAACATTACGAGATCATGAAATACATTTTTGCAAAAATGGCACAATAAAAGAAAAAGCAACAAGAATCTAGTGGAGAATCTACTGGAGAAGGAAAATATAAAGCACAAATGGCAGTAATATACAAGTGGTCCTCGACCTATGACTACAATTGAGCCCAAAATTTATGTTGCTATGTGAGACACATGTGAAGTGAGTTTTGCCCCATTTTACGATCTTTCTGGTCACAGTTGTTAAGTGAATCACTGCAGTTGTTCAGTTAGTAACATGGTTGTTAAGTGACTCTGGCTTCCCCGCTGACTTTGCTTGTCGGAAGGTTGCAAAAGGGGATCACATGACCCAGGGACACGGCAACCGTCATAAAAGTGAATCAGTTGCCGAGCATCTGAGTTTTGATCATGTGACCATGGGGATGCCGCAACAGTTGTAAGTGTGAAAAACGGTCATAAGTCTCGTTTTTCAGTGCCGCTGTAACTTTGAACAGTTACTAAACGAACAGTTGTAAGTTGAGGACTACCTATACAGAACTACAGTTTAGAAAAAAAAGATTCCATGATTGATGAAATGAAAAAGGGTTGTCTTTACAGCTAGCATTCTGACAAGTAAAAGTAGTCCTCAACATATGACATTGGGGAGGACGCCCAAGAGTGCACAGAGGTACACAAGTGCTGGGAAGAAGCCATTGCGAGACTCGGGAATGTGCAAGTGGCCAGCATGGCACAAGGGCAGAAGGGCTGAGGGAGACTTAGTGATTTTCCTGCCGGTTTTCCTATTTTTTTTTTTTTTCAAATATAAATTTTTTATTATTTTCATCATAAAAAAAAAACACATCACAAATACATCACAATGCTATAATANAAGTAAACTACTATTAATATCCCTAACTCCACAAAATATTATTCTACATAAGTAGGTGAAATATATAAAAAAAGAAACAAGTTATCTAAAAGCCTAGGTTATATTCCACCATTCTATGCTTTTTTTGAATATAAACAATCCATCTTCTCCATATTGATAAAAATTGTTCATTTGAATGATTCTTCAAATAAGCCGAAATTTTTGCCATTTCAGCAAGATACGAAACCTTCAATCTCCAGTCCTCCATTGTAGGTAGAACTTTACTCTTCCAATTTTGAGCTATCAACAAACGGGCAGCTGCCGGTTTTCCTATTGATCATTTGGAAAAGTGGTAGGGAAGATTACAAATGACAAGCGCGTGATTATGGAGCATTGTAATAGGATGTAGTAACAAGCTGTTTGCCAAGCACTCAGATCGTGATCACCTGGCTGTGGGGATACAGTAATGGCTAGAAGTCTGAGGACAGTCTTAACCACCATTCCTTCAGCAATGTCATAACTTCAAACAGTCACTAAACAAATGGTTGTAGGTCAAGGATGTGCCACTTCTTGGCTTGCCTGGGCCACGTTGAGAGAAGAGGAATTGTCTTGGGCCACATACAAAATATATAATATAGTTAATGTGTATAAATCACATTAATAATGTCGAAAGTGTACAATCTTGTGGGGATGCATTACTGGCTGTCTGGGCTGTGTGAGGCCTGCAGGCTGTGTGTTAGACACGTCCCTTACAAGGACGACTTGTAAACTTAAATGGGCCCTAGAAAATACTGCTGAACCATTTAAAATCTTATAGGATGGTGCTTCAAGTGCTACTTGTAGTTTGTAAACATGTACGAAAAACACAACAATGGTCAAGATGAGGAAAAAAGAAATCACTCTACATTCCAAACAATGCTCAAACAGTGCCAAACAATGCTCAAACTATCAAAACAATTGCAGTGATCTCACGGGCTAGTAAAATAGTATCCACGATATTTGGACTGAGATATAACAGATGTAGAAGTTAGATTCAAAACAGGCAGGGGCAGCCAACATCACATTGCTGATATCTGGCAGATAATATAAAAAACAAGGGAGGCCTCAAAGTATTTATTTTTGCTTTATGGATGACAAAAAGGCTTCCTACTGTGCTTCATATTAAAGACTGAGTAACTTGTGAACAAAGGGACCCATCAGGTACTTACCAATGTTGTCCATTAAACTTCTGAGCCTCTGAACAAAATGGTCAGCTTCAGAATCATTCATTCGAGCTCTCTCTTTTAAGTCAGCACCTACATTTGCCAAACCAAGGCATCATTTGGGAAATGCAGGAAGAGAAACGCTTGAAGGTAAAGTTTCAAATACATCAATATCTGCTGCATGAACTACAGAAGAGTCATATGATGGTAGAAAAAAGTCCACTTAAGTAAGTAAGCGTACTTAAGTAAGAAGTAAGACTCAAGCAGTTCATCTATATAAATATATATTATTCACTAATGATATTGGTTACTATTTAATATATAAATAGTAAATAATATTAACATTATTTACATCGGTAGACATATTTATGTCTATAATGTCAGAAGTCACACTCTCAAAACAATCAATCATAATAGAGCTGGAAGGGACCTTAAGAGGTCTTCTAGTCAAACAGAAGACCCTATACCGTTTCAGACAAATGGTTGTCCAATCTCTTCTTAAAAACCTCCAGTGATGAAGCACCTACAACTTCTAAAGGCAAGCTGTTCCACTGGTTAATTATTCTCATTTGTTAGGAAATTTCTCCTTAATTCCAGGTTGCTTCTCTCCTTGATTAGTTTCCATCCATTGTTTCTTGTCTGGCCTTCTGGTGCTTTGGAAAATGAGTTGACCCCTCTTCTTTGTGGCAGCCCTTCAAATACTGGAATTCTGCTATCATGTCACTCCTAGTCCTTCTCTTTTCCAGACTAGGCATACCTAATTCCAGCAACTGTTCTTCATATGTTTTAGTCTCCAGGCCTTTAATCATCTTAGTTGCTCTTCTCTGCACTTTTTCCAAAGTCTCAACATGTTTTTTTGTAATGTGGTTACTAAAACTAGATTTGTTTTGGTCACCACAAAGGTGACAAAAAACCAGGTGGGACAAAAAAAGTCTATATAAATTAAATTAGTGATTAGAAGCAATTGTCCCTAAAATAAAATATAAAATAAATAAAATAATGAGAGCTGGTTTGGTGTAATGGTTAAGGCATCAGGCTAGAAACTGGGACACCATGAGTCTTGCCTTAGGCACAAAACCAGGTTAGTGACCTTGGGCCAGTCCCCATTTTTTTCAGCCCAAGGAAAAAGACAATAACAAACCACTTCTAAAAAGCCTTGTCACTGATACCGAAAATATATTTTATTAAACAACCAAGTGGAAAGGATAGGTCAGGTGATATATTTTCTTCCACTCATTCTCAGTTTTTTTACTTTTTCAAATTAAAAAAACAGCTTTACTTACCAGCACAAAAAACACCCTTTACTTTGCTTTTGACTATTACAGCACGTATACTTTCATCAAAACGGAGAACATCAAGGATTTCATATAACTAATGAAAAAAGAGAATAAATCCAATATTCAATTCAATGAAATCTTTCTTTGAGGCCACAGCTGTGTATATGTGACCACACTTTAGCTGATAAAATATGTATAAACTGCTAAGTGCATAATTTGTTTTTAGCATGTGGCTCCTACTACAAAATCTGCCCTAATATCTAGGAAACTACCATTCATTGACAATTATGGTGACCTTGGACACCCATAGCCTTTCAAATAATATCTATATAAAGGAAAATTAAATAAATACTATCACTTACTTCGTCCACAAACACTTTTCCCAGGGCGTTTCTGGCATGTGGTCTGTTCATCTGAATTTCTGCAATTCCTTTACTCCCCAAAAGAATAACATATTTTTTTTTTAAAAAAAGAGGTTTTGTGTCTTAATTGTTTACATAAGCAAAACAATTCCAGAGTAACATTCAGCTCAAGGTCATAATAAAATATTAGGAAATTCAAATACTGTGCTTCAGGAGTTTTTTTGTTTTTGTTTTTAACCACAATCATCTCGGAGAAGCCTAAAAAGCAAATCTAGGAATAAAAGCAGCAGTGAAACAGATGAGTAAATCTGGGCTCAGAAACTAATTAAGGTCAGGGTTGGAGAGCTGTCAGGAAATTGTTTCAAAGAAGACTGTAAAATACTTCTACATTGCAGATGTCTAAGGAGTTGTGAAAGCAGAGCTGCCTTTACCTTTTTAATAGTCCTCTATTTACAACAGTTCATTTAGTGACCCCTTGAAATTACAATGGCACCGAAAAAAGTGACTTATGACGTTTTTCACACTTACAAACATTGCATCACCCCACTGGTCATGTGATCAAAATTCAGAAGCTTGACAACTGACTCACATTTATGACATTTGCAGTGTCCCGGGGTCACTCGATCAACTTTTATGACCTTCTGACAAACAAAGTCAACGGGGAAGCCAGATTCACTTAACAATTGTGTTACTAATTTAATAGCTGCAAGTGATTCACTTAACCACTCTGGGAAGAAAGGTCGTAAAACGGGGCAAAATTCACTTAATAACTATCTCACTTGGCAACAGAAATTTTGGACTGAATTGTGGTCCTAAGTCGAGGACTACCTGTACATCCTTTTCCCACATTTCATTCTCAAACAGGACGAACTGAGTGGAAGGGGGAAGTGTGCATCATTGACTTTTGTGCTTTCTGCTCTTCTGTTATGCATGGATATTTTAGGGCTTTTTTGGTGTGTGTATGCATCTTTGAGTCAGTCTTTGTTTCTGGTGAAAACAAATCCCTGCAGTTTTTGTGACAAGATTTCATATGTGGCTTGCCACTGCTTGCTTGCTAGGGCTGAGAAAGTGACTGGTCTAAGGTCATTCAGGTGGCCTTGTGCCTAAGTCCAAAACACCAAACTGGTGTTTTAGACTTAAGCACAAGTCTATTTACAAGTATACTGCTTCATAGTTACGCTTTATAGCTATACAAACATTTTAAATTTCATTTGCTACCATTAAGAGTATGGAAAGCCTCTCTGCAGTGGCACATTAATTTCCTTAAAGGAACCAAGCATTCTCAGGCAGCCAAAATAAGTCCAAAGGTAACCTTGTTTGGCTTTGCAGTTTGGTTTTCCAGGGCCCTCTGACAGCTACAGACGTTCCAAGGCAGTGTGTGTTGTTGTTGTTTTCTCCAAACTTGGCAACTTTAAGATGTGTGTGTGTTGTTGGTTTTTTTCTCCAAACTTGGCAACTTTAAGATGTGTGGATTTCAAATCCCAGAATTCCCCAGCAAGCTCGCTGAGGAATTCTGGAAGTTCACCCGTTCTAAGAGAAGGGAATCCCTTAATGAATACAATTGCGGCTCTCTCTAAAATCTAAATCCTCCGGTGACGGTTGGCGATTGGCCTTCCCCGCATAGCTAATAAAGGGGTGTGTCCCCGAGGTCTTCTACGATTGGCCCGCGGCCTACAGTGTCCTGGATCGCGAAAGGAAGAGCGCGCGGACTTTGATCAGGTGGCGTTGTGTGTCTTCTCCCTAACCGCTCAGTTGTGGGAAAGGGAAAATTCCTTCCTTCAGCCTAGTGGGTAGTAGGGGGCACGATGGCCGGCCTCTTCCAAGATACAGGCGTTTCACTGCATGGTTTCTGTGGCCTTGTGTGCCTTCGAGAGGGATCCAGGAGTCACTTACCGCAGTCTGCCTTTCCATGCACGTGTAACAGAATCTCTTTTTTCTTCTCTCCGGACGCGGATCTTCTCGGGGAGATGCCTCCAATCCCCAAGCAGCTCTCCGTAGAAAGTAATCGCAACACAGCGGTGGCTTGGCCCAGGCGGAGCATTTTAGGACGTAGCAGCTGGGCCGAATTAAACTAACAATTCAGGCAAGCCGGAATTAACGAAGAAAGGCCGGAGGGCAAGCGAGCCCCAGTTGCTACGGTTCCGTTAAAATAACATGTATCTTGATGCGAGCTGAAACAAACAAGTTTCAAACAGCAAACTAGTTTTCGGAGCAGTCAAAGTACAATACTGCTCCGCTTTAGGGGAAAAAAACAGTAGCGCCCCCTTTCGAGCACGAAATCTCTTTTATTCCAAAAATATAATCAAAAGCTTCTTAGCGTTAAGACCGACTGCTGATCTTATGGACAAAGTCCCTAGACTTTTCTCGGCAGCAGTGCAGAAATAAATTGCCAGCTTGGGGATTTTCTGGGGGGTCTCACTATAACAAGAGATTGTAAAGTGGTATAACACCAATGCAGGCACGGTCCTCTTCTTTGCAACCTAAATCAGTTTTTTCCCCCCAAACTTGGCAACTTTAAGTTATGTGGACTTCGATTCCCATTATTCCCCATCCACACACGCCAATGTTGGCTTTTGAGATTCATTGGCAGGATAAACTTTTTTTCATTTTAAAAATCTGATAAATAGTATACATAGTTACAAATACCTTTTCTTTCCCTTTCTCTTTTTTGATGCTTTAGGTTGGATTTCTGATCCTCTGATTTTATTCTTGTTGTTCATTGTAGCCATTACCTTTTTTTTTTTTTATTAAAGAAAATATAAAAAAAAATCTCAGGTCCTGCTCTAGATTGTATGTCAATCATTATAGAGGCAATTCAACTCTAAAGCAATGAAAATGAGAAGCAATGATTTTTTTAAAAAAAAACAACAACTTAGGCATATCTATTTTTGGCTTTATTTGATATTTCTTGAATTGTTACACGGTTTTAATTGCTGTTTATGGTTGTAGGCCACCCCGGAGTCACTTTTTGTGAAATGGGCGGCTATATAAATTTGCTAACTAAAAAGCGGATGCATGTTTTTCCTCTAACCTCCGCTAAACGGGCTCTTATTTTAATCAAAGCTGGGGATTTAAAGCACTCTGCAATACTCTGGGATAGGCTCGCTCAGCCTGTATTTCCGACTCATGAATTCAGGCTGGATTTGCAGAGCGCCAAAGACGGATGCTACCGCTTTAAGAGGGTGGGGAGAGATTGAGACTCGTTTCCGCCCCCGTTTCCACCACCTTTACTCCGGGTGTGTTGTCAAAAGCCCGCTGTTGCAGCGGCTGTGCATTTCTTTTCGCGTGTCTTTGGTGCTACGGCCACGCAAGATCCTGAGAGCATCATGGGCAAGACCAACAGCAACCTGGACCCGATCCGCGTCGGGAAAAGGGTTTTTGTCATCGGAGTGGGTATGACCAAGGTAACTGGACTGGGCCGGGATACTTTGGAGGGGTATTCTGAGTTCTACAGTGGGAATACAATTGCCATCATCCGTGGCCACGTCTTGAAACAGAGCAGGCTGCTTCAAAGGGTTGGTGAAATTGGCGTGAAAAATGGGAAGGAGGGCGCAAGCGATTTCCCTTCCCAGCGGGACTTATTCGTTAGCCACTTGATAAACCCAGCATTCCCCCCAAGAGAGACACGGTGCTGCCCCTCCCTATCCCTCATTTCGCACTGTGTGCATGCGTGCCTTCGAGTCAACTGCACCAGTCCCTGCAGTTTTCTTGTCAACATTTAGGAAGGGGTTTACCATTGCCTTCTTCCTAGGGCTGGGCAAGAGTGACTGGCATAAGGTCACGAAGGCTGGAACTCCTGGTTGTCCGGTTTATTGCCTGATGCCTTAATAACTATAACAATGGCTCTCTTTAGAGTTATACTTTATAGCCATTCAGACATCTTAAATTAACTGGGTGGCAAACCTCTCTGCAGTGGGGCATAGGTTTTCTTAAAAGAATCCCTCTCATGTGGCCAGGATCAGCCCAAGGATGGGGCAATCTTGTTTGGCTTTACAAATTGTTCTCTGCAGGACTTCACAAGTACGGATGTTCTAAGACAGTGTTTTTCATATTTGGTAAGTTTAACATTCTAAGGAAAAGGTCGTGGAACCAGTTAATACAGTTCTGACCTCCTCTTAATTCTCCAGTGACAATTGGTGTTTTTTTACCTTTTTAATACCCCCTCCCCCTTTTCACCATTTTGTTCCAAAACCGGATGAGCAGAGTGCCTATAGCAGGGCTTTTCAACCAGTGGTACGGGTGTCACCTGTGGTACATTGGCACCTGGCAGGTGGTACGCGACCATCCTAGAAAAGTGGTAGTGGGGGAGGGGAATGAGCTGAACCGGTGGCAGCACCGCACAAGCCTGAGCGACAGATGGCTGGAGCTTCAGGGCTGTCAGGGCTCAGCGGAAGCGCCAGGATCAGTGCCGCTTTCCAGCTGATCGGCGCTTCTTCGGGACTGTCAGGGCTCAGTGGAAGCGACAGGATCAGTGCCAGGCTCCAGCTGGAGCTCGGCGCTGATCCTGGCTCTTCTGCTGAGCCCAGAAGAAGCGCCGATCAGCTGGAATGTTGCAGCATCTCCAGGGTCTTGTGATTTACATTCAGATGCTTGGCAACTGATTCATATTTATGACGGTCACAGTGTTCCAGGGTCATGTGAAGTGACCAAAAACTGCTGCAACCACCCAGCAGACAAGGGGAATAAAAACCAAACACCCCCCACCCCACCCCCGCTGCCAATCTTCAACAGAAATGCTCACAACAATGGAAACCTCAGACAGGAGGAAGTTTTTGACACCTTGCTAGGCGACTGGTGGTACTCGGATATTGCCATATCCTAAAAGTGGTACAGTGGGTGAAAAGGTTGAAAAGCCCTGGCCTATAGGACTCCCTGTCTCCCGGTTTCTACTTTGGTGCCTTAATCAATTCACCAAATTGGCTCTGTCTTTACCCAAAAGTAAAATCCTCTCACTTCATTGTGGCTTGTTTAGAGCTTTATCCTTAGAACAGCTTTGTAATGTAGATTAGAATGAGAGGGAGCGGTGGCTCCTCCAAGCCCATCCAAAGGTTAGGTTTACTACTGGTGGGGGTGGGGGAGATTTGTGCTCAATAGGATTTTTTTTATATAACTTGAAGGATGATCTGGATCCCATTGCAAGATCACAACTGGACTGAGAAATTGCACTTCTCAAGCTATTATAAATGTTAATGGTGTTGTTCCCTTTGAGAGTCCTTGGCATTATGTTGTTTAGACATTTCTGACAAGAGCTCTGTAAGAAAAGTCCCAATTTGTTCCTGTACTACAAATGGAGACTGAAGTTAGAGTACTCAGAGTACTACAGAGTACTCTCCATGCTAATATTTAATTTATTGTGCAACCTCTGGAGAAGCAATTTTTTAATCCATGTTGCCTAGGTCTTATTGACTGTTCCAAATTACAGATTATATTAACAAGATGTTTATATTCAGGATAACTGAGGAGACAGACAAAGAGAGTTTGGTGTACAACAGGGGTGTCAAACTGCCAGCCTGGGGCCAGATGCATCACGTGGAAGCCCCACTCACCATAGCTCCGGCAAGGGGGAAAAAGTTGCGATACGTCGCGACATGTCATGTGACACGACGAGTTTGACATCCCTGGTGTACAACCATGCATAGTGTTCGTACATCCTTTAAAAGACAGCCCTTTACAGGTAGTCCTTAACTTACAATAGTTCATTTAGTGACCATTCAAAGTTACAATGGCACTGAAAAAAGTGACTTATGACTGTTTTTCACAGTTACAACCTTTGCAGCATTCCCATGATCTGTGATCAAAATTCAGATGCTTGGCAACTGGTTCTTATTTATGACCATTGCTGGATCCCAAGGTCATGTGATCGCCATTTGTGACCTCCTGACAAGCAAAGTCAATGGAGAAGCCAGATTCACTTAAGAATCGAGTTACTAACTTATCAGCTGCAGTGATTCACTTAACAACTGGGGCAAGAAAGGTTGTAAAATGGGCAAAACTCACTTAACAAATGTCTTGCTTAACGACAGAAATGTTGGGCTTCATTGTGGTCATAAGTCGAGGACTGCCTGTAAAGGGCTGTCTTTTAAGGGATGTATGAACACTGTGCATGGCTGTACACCAAACTCTCTTTGTCTTCTCTCCTCAGTTATCCTGAATACAGAATATAAACATCTTGTTAATGTAATTTGGAACAGTCCATAAGTCCTAGTCCCCAGAGGTTGCACAGTAAATTAAATATTAGCATGGAGACCTCTGAGTCGTTGTCCTTTAGATGTACCTAATTATTTATTTTCTTGGTTCTGGTCCTGTATTGGCAGGAGACTGTGCGTTCTAATCTTGCCCTAGACATGAAAGCCAGATGGGAGACTTTGGGCCAGTCACTCTCACTCAGCCCAAACCAATTCACAGGTTTGTTGTGAGGTCTCAAATCATTTGGTGCTGTGCCCTCCTTCCTTGGCCCTCCCTGTACTCGCACGTACTCACCCTGTGTCCTCCATCTCTGGGCTTCCTTGCTCTCACTTGCAGACATCCGTGCACGGAGCCCTGTCCTCCCCAAGTTGTGCATGGCTTGTATCAAGCTGCCCAGGATCTCCCACAGTACCCCTGTGCTCCTTACCTGGGACACCTGCTGCTTTCCTGCTTAATAACTCGCATGTCTTGGGGTTACAACAGCAGCTGGGATTGCCTGGATCGCCGTTGCTAAGTGATGCAGTCATGTGACATCACACTTTAGAACTGCATTGCTTAGCAAAGGCAATCCCAGTCCCAATTGCCATTATAACTTGAGGATTTCTCAAGGTTAGCTTGAATTACTCTGAAAATAGAGCCAATTTGGTCTAGTCGTTAAGGGCCAGGCTAGAAAGTGGGAGACCAGGACTTCTTGTCCTGCCTTACCCAGGAAAGCCAGCTGGGTGACCTTGCGCCAGTCACTCTCTCTCAACCCAACCTACCTCACAGGGTTCTTGTAGAGCAGTGGTTCTCAACCTGTGGGTCGGGACCCCATTTGGGGTCGATCGACCATTTCATGGGGGTCGCCAAGCAAGGCTGTCCGCCATTTTTTTTGTCCGCCATTTTTTCCCCTTTTCCGGCGGGTGCCTTACCTCCCTTGGGCTGGGCCAGCTGGTGGTCGGCCTGCTCCGTCTCTGCCGCTTGCCAGCTACGCCTCGG